TTAAAAATGACAAACAACTTCTCGCTGGTATCGAATATTTTAAAAAAGGATATGAAAGACAAAATCTTTATCACAAGAAAAGTTGATTTCTTATCTCTACCAACAGAAATTCTCATCATATTCAGAATTGCTTAGAAGTAGAGTAAAAATTAAGGTGCAACCAGCATCAATTCAACGAAGAAAACGAAAAGAAAATGTTGATCCTTCTAAAATGAAAGCACAAAAAAAAAGAAAAGCTATAGTGAAACCACATAGTCTGAAGAAAAATATTTCAGACAACAAGCCAAATTAAATAAATAGATTTAATCGCAAACAAAAAAAAAAAAAAAATTTATTTCGTACATATAAATTATAAAATGTAATTGCTTAAAGAGTGCTGGAGGCACCCTATTAAAAGAAAAAATATTGTAATTGCTTGCAACATACAATAATTAATTTGCGAAAAAAAAATAGATTATACTTCGAAAAAATAAAATTAGTATTGGTACGTATTAACATTTACATATAATCAGATTCTGAGCATGCACGTGATTTCTGGAGTACCAACCTAGTACACATTTTCCGGGTGCTAGTAGCATCATCTATTAATAAAATTTTTCTTAATAGACAATATATCTGTTATCTAGAGAAGATTTGCAATTTTTTATAAATAAATTTTACTATTGAGCCAAATGTAAAATGCTCTAATCTAAAATTTTTTTACTAAATAAATCACTTTTAAGCTTTTAATAAAAGTTATAGAGCTTATCAAGATGTATTTAATAGTAATAAGAATATTAAAATTAGCTTTGTAATTCTTGAGAAATCTTTAAAAACATTTTATTGATATATAAAATTTCTTTAAAAAAAATCAATTTTTTTTAAATAAATTTTATATGTTAGTAAAATATTTTTAAAGATTTTTCAAAAACTACAAGATCAATTTTAATGTTTTTACTACAATTAGATACGTTTTAATGAGCTCTACAACTTTTGTTAGAAGTTTAAAATAATTTACTTAGTAAAAAATTTTAGATTAGAGCACTCTACATTTGGCTCAATAGTAAATTTATTTATAAAAATTTGCAGATTTTCTCCAAATAACAAATGTATTGTTTATTAATTATAATATAATTCAACTAGATTAAGTATAATATTTATTAATCTTATAATATTATTTGGTTCTAAACTAATATATTTATTTTATATTAAACTAGTAAATTATATTTTGTAAAAATTACTATACATTAATAAAGATATTTAAAATCTAAAAACTTATTTGTATTTGTAAAGAATTTAAATTATTTTTAAAATTTTTTATATACAAAAAATAAATTAATATTCATCGAACGGTCAACAGAACTTTTTCTGATGATCACTTAGACCAACTAGTACTGAAAGCAAGTTGAAGACTCAAGGCCAGAAGTCAACAACAACTTGAAGTTTTCTCAATACAAACTGTTGTCGACAAAGTCTCTAAACATGATATACCGAGGAACGGCCGTTTTGGACAGTTTGCAAAGGGGTCAAGCCTTTTTCTTACTTCTTCGGGTGGATTCCCTTTTGCATTCGGCATCCAAACCGGAGGAGTCTCTGGGAACAGCAAGTAAAAAAGAAAACTCAGAAAGTTTGAAAATGGAAGGATATGATGAACTCTTAGAAAAACTCTCTTTAATTGGAAACTCACAAAACCACAACTTCCCTCACCACTTTGACGCTCCCAAAACCAATTTTTGACAAAAAGTAGGGAATTAGGCTACCCTGTCAAAAGATCGGTATTGTTTACTACTTCCATATTTAGCAACTCTGTGACATAAACACAACAAACATGTAGCTATATAGAAAAATTGATTCTTTATTTGGGAACGTGGTCCTACACATCGAAGATTTGAAAGGTTTTTAAGGACTTCTACACCAAATAGATGAGGCATAACAGTGAGAACACGTGGAGTCGATTAAGTTTGTTATACTTTGGAATAGATTATGGATTTAAAGTCAGGGCGATAAAGAGATTTTGAGATATGCAGTCTTTGGATAAAGTCATATGTATATAATTTTTAGCCCTTAGCACAGGTTAAAATACATTTAGTTTAGTTTTTTATATGTCAGCTGAGTTCTATATAATTACTATGATTGTGTAGATAAGTATCTTGGTTAGCAGGTATCAATTTGTTAGATAGGTTCTTTAGTTTAATTAGTACTTTAGATTCCTTTTCTTAGTGTATTCATTTTCGTATCTGTTTCTTTTCAAAATATCAACCTTCTTGTAATTCTCCTTACCCTATTTGCGCTTCTTTTTTTGTTTTTTTTTAGGGAATTTTTCTTTAGATTGGTGATATGTTATATAGGGCAGTGATCCTGACAAGGTCAGTAGGCACCTACTGTAGACTCTTGGGGTATAAATTCTCAGGAAGTTGGGAATCCCAGATGAGGTAAAGATAAACCACTTAGGTGGGTCGCACCTGGGTCTTCTTTGCAGAATTTCTGTTTAATAGATCGAGTGATTCTTTATTAGTACTGGCTTATGTAGATTATAACGTAGTTTAGCCGCTAAAACTATACAAATATATGGTGTTGTATTCTATGCCTAAATAAATAATAAAGGAAGGATCGCTAAAAAAAAAAAAATAATAAATTAATATTAATTAAAAAATATAAGTAATTCTTGCTAATATTAATCTTATTAATATAAATCTAAACTACAAACCATTTTATAAATTTTTATATATTAGAATTTTCTTAAATATATTAACTTTAATATAATATCATTATTAATATAATTTAAATCAAGTTAAATAGATTAATATTTTTTTTTGAATATTAATAGTGAGACTATGTTTCTAACTTTATTAAAATTTAATTTAATTCTTCTACAGTAAAAGAAAACCCTTACAAAGAAAAGAATTTATTTAAATTTTATATTCTAAGATAGAAATAAAGAAATTTAGATTAATTTATCTGTGGTCTAAACCAACTAGGGTGGCTATAGGTCATCTAAAGTAGTAGATTAGTAATTATATAGTTTAAATTTGTTTGATATTTGATCTATAAAGAATACTATAATACAATTTTAGCACTAGCTACAGTAAGTAGTAAGGGTTGAGAAAATTGAAACAAAGATAGCATATCACAATATCCAATTAGTTTTAACTTTTTTTAAACATATATCTAATTGAAATTAGACATATATTTAAAAAAAATTGAAATCAATTAGACATTGTAATATGCTATCTCTGAACTAAGAGGTTGAAAGAGATAAAACTAATAAAGAAGGTATAGTATTATTAGAAAATTGAATTGAAAAACAAGAAATATAATAAGGTATTTAAATATTATAATAAATTTGTAAATTAAGATATAAAAAAAATTTAATAGTAATAGTTGATACTAATATAGCAGATGAAATAATATCTTTAAGTGAATTTATAATATCAAGAGAAACAAACCTAGACAAGATAAAGTTAATAGATGAAATATATTAATTATAATAAAATATCATACTATTAAGATATTTGATTTGATTATGAATTATAATAATTAATTTTAGTTAAGATATTTAATGATATTGAGTTGATAACTTGTTGTAAAGAGTTAATAGTGCAGATGATAACCAGATAACTTAATATAGTGATGTACTAATTTGATTGTATTAATGACAGTTGGGTAAGATATAATAATTGTATTTATATAATATATAAGGAGTAGGTAACTTATCAAGAAGAATTTTAACTTGAAATGATTTAAAAATAGAAGATTGAAAGCTATATAAGAAATTTAAAATTTTTTGGTTATTGTTAATACAGTATAATGCTATATAGCAGGCTAGTTAATATAAGCAGTGATTTGAGACTACTATTAAAATCTGTACTAGGATAACTACAAAGTATAGATGTATGAATAGCATATAGTATGGATAGTACATCAAGTTGATAACTCAAGAGAGTATTTATCTAATTGAAAAGAATAGTTGGGATTGTAGATATTATAAGGTTTAAAAGTAAGAAAGTCTGAGATAAGATGGCTACAAGCCAATTGGTCAGCAAAATTATTAAATTGGTTCTCTTAATATGCAGTAACTTTGTGAAAAATAATTTGATAGTTGTATGATTGAGTAAAGTTAATAAAGGTATGCTATAACATTAAGTATAGAGTATTCATAGTAGAAAGAGAGTGTAGTAATTTTTAAAAATTATTATATTTAGAAATAACAGATTGTAAGTCTATAAGGATATAAATAATACAAGATCTAGATACAGTACTAATTGCTAACAATATAGCAACAAGTTCTACTTTAAAAAGCATAGCTAGTATTTGATTTGTACTTGAAATTTGTGTAATATATTATTTTAATAGATTTGTACCTATCCAATACTTATGAAGCAGTCTTGTGTAAAGAAGTGTAATAGATGTGTTAAGTGGGTCGAATGAGGCCGAAGTATCAAGATAATACAGCTCGCCAGATTGTTGAATTTTTTGATGAACTCGTCATATTAGGTTTGTTACGATATATAAAATAAAAAGTATATGTGTAAAAGAATTGTATTTTTGAAGAACAGCAACTCTATTCCCTGAATTATTATAAAAAGTAACTATTTCCTGTAACCGGTCAAATATTCCCTATCCATTTCGATCTCCAAGTTGTATAACACAAAATTGATTATAAAGATGTTTTACGAAGCCTCTATCTGAATTTTTTGCTCGATTTGCTAACAAGTGTACAAGCTCATCATCATCTTATACTAACAAATGTAACTTATCTTCATATATATATTGTGCTGAAGCTATCGAATGTTCCATTTTAAACAACTCAATATATTTGTTTTGAGATTTGATACTAACTGGCCTGAAACTTAGTGATGTAGCTGAATTAGGTAAATGATTATGTAAAAATCTAAGATTAATTTCAAGCAGGTAAAAATTTTTAGAATTATCTTTTTCTATCCAAAAATTAAGTGTTGCTTTATATCCCATATCTTTATTTCTTTGGCTATCTGGATTTTTAATTTCATGATTATTATTTTTTTGTTTTACAGTGTGACTATGGATGCAGTGATATTGTTCTTGAAATATAACTTTAGATCCTTTAACAGGAAATATCCATATTAATCTCATAGTAGTTTTTGATTTATCTTGAAATTGAGCTAACTATTCTGATATGTTATCTTTAATGTCTTCAATGTTAATATGCACAAATAAATCAACAATAATTTGTTTGATTGTAACTTTTTTTGCAGTAACTATCAGTTTAGGTTCACTATAATTCGTCACTTTGTATAAGTAATTTGACAGAAGTATTTGTTGAAGTGGAATTGGTAAGTCAGATATATTAGATTGGTCATTGTTCTAAAAATTTAC